GATGTGTGCTCCCCAGTTTGGGGTAGCTGCACAAGACCAGACAAATCTGTGGTACATGGTCACAAAGAGTCCAAAACCAGTCGTTATTCCTTGAATTTGAAAGTCAGAAAATGTCATCTTCTGAAATGGAAACTGACAAAGAGAAGCAAATTATCTGAGAAGAGTCACTTAAATAGTAACTTCTGATAAAAAGAGGTTATTTCCTAACTTGGAGTCAGGAATCTCCATTTGATATAAGATTTCTTGAAATCTTAGGAATTGTGTTGATTGTGTTGGTGACCGGGGATTCTGGTTATCAGAGGAGAGATGCAGTGGTGGAGCAGGGTAGTCCGCTCCTCTGGCACTATGGCGGCGGCGGGGGGGGGCGGCAGCAGAAGGTCAGGCACCAGAAAGGGTGGCCACCCTCTCCACCCCCACAGTGTAGCAGAGGAGGATTTGGGTTTGTTCACTCTGTCTCTTGTGAGTTTGGCTAGTTTGAATCAGTCCCCCAGGGCATCATCACCCCCAGGTAAACCGATAGTCTGTTTCTTGAATGTTCAGGCCTGAGGGTACAAATGGGGCCGAGCTGTACTTTGCACCGAGGCCCAGAGCAGCCCAGTTACTGCTCTTCTTTGCCTTTCTGCCTCTTCTCTCCGCTTCCCACTTTGGTTTTTTCCTTTCTCATCCACCTCTTCCTGCTAATTTGCCTCCCCTTGCAGATTCATCCCTTTCCTCTTTGTCTCCTTTAATCCTTTGGAAGATGGTGGCTGTGTAACAGAATAGGCTGGGACGGCCCCGTCCCTGCTCTTTCCCTCGTGTGCCTCCATCCCCCAGCTTTCTGTGGGAGCTCACAAAGACAGTCACTGCAAGGTTAAGGGCATCAGCAGCCAGTGAAGCTGTGCTTCTTCCTCAGATGAGTGGAATTTGCAGATGTTGCTTCGTTGCATCTTGACTTCATTCACCTTGTGGCTGGGGCCTCTCCTTTACCTCCCATAAGGGACTGGCCCTGTCCAGAACTACCTTGCTCCCCACTGTGGGTCTTCATGACCTCCTGCCTTCACTCCTTCCTTCTGGTTTTGCTTGTTCTCTCGGACCAAGAAGGGTGTACCTCATTTTGTAGAGATGTAGCCCCACCGGAAAAGTGATATCTGTATCTGTTAGTAGGAACAGAGCTTTTGCTTGGGTTTTGACCCAAAGAGGAGACCACGGACCTCTTAACAGAGCACAGGGCATCATCTTCTGGAGTCTGCTCAGTGCTACTTGACCAAAAATAGCTAGCCTTTCCAGGAACAGTCATGGGAAATCAAACTTTTCTTAGCACTTCACCTCTGATGTGCTTGTGCCCTAACACCTGCTTGTGTCCTGGTGACCTCTCGTCGCTCCGAGAAGTCATAGAGTGATGAGCTTATATATGGGTTTCTTTCACTGCGTGTGGAGTTTGGGCCTCTAACACAGAAGTCTTGACCTTGGACCAGGGTTCTGTTCATCCTTATGAAAAGAGAAGGTGCCCTTAGGTGATAAGGTTTCTTGTTTGGGGCCCACATCTAGATGCTTCCTCATGCAGCATTCTGAGGCCTGTTTAATTCCACTGGGCTCCACTTGTCTCTGGAGGAGACAAGCATTCTCCTTGTAGTGCACCCCGTAGGAAAGTTTTGGCTTGGTGCAGCTCTTCAGAGCACGAGACTGAGAGCAGCTCAATTGCAAGGCCTTGTCCCAAAAGAGAATGTTCTGACTCATGATACCTGGACAGACGCCAGAGGGAGCTGCAGCGCTCTCTCCATTTGCCGGCAGGGCACTCCCTCTTAGCGGGGCCAGCTCTGGGCACACTGGTGTCCAGCTGGCCATCCGGACATGGTCAGGATCAGCTTTCTCCCAAAGCTGTTGGATTTATATCCCATTCTCTAATCTGATGGAAGGATTCCTGCTCAGCTCTGATAAGCCATCCTGCCTGGTGTGATGGAGTTTGATGGGAGCGCTAGTCATTGGAGTGCCACGGAGCAATGTGACATTCAGGGGAGATGAGGAAGAGATCAGGATCTAATGGCTTTACCATCTCCAGGGGGTTGAACAGCTGTGGAGCTGTGCTGGCGTCGGGGAGGGCTTCGAAAGGCCGCAGTTCTTGGGCTGCCTCTGTGGTTTACTTTGTGACACTGGGTTTGTTTCTTAACCTTCCTGAGCCACATTCCTTCATCTGACAGAAAGGGGTAAAAGCTCTTTTGTCTATCAGACAGGGGTGGTGTGAACAGAAAATGAGTGTCTGGGGGAAGTGTATTTGACAGCCGTAAAGCATTATATTGACGTAAGGCATTATTTGTAAAGCCAGCTGTTTATATGTCAGGTATATCTAGTCTGGGGACAGAGGCCCCTTCACTCAGGTATGGTCCATAATGTCCTCTTAAAGGACTTTTCTCTCTCCAGCCTCCATTTGCTGGGCCTGGGCAAATTCTCTATCTTCCCTCAGGCCCAACAGAAAGAAGGAAGCAGTTTGCTCTCCTGAGAGAAACCTGGATGGGACTTCTCACATTCAGCTAAAGTAATGTGTATTTTACCACCATTAAGAAAAAAAAATTGACTCATGTATTAGCCCATTTGCCTAAATGCCTTATTTGGCTATATCATAGTGATATGAAAGTGAGAGTTCATGTAATGAAGTTTAAAAATGTAGAGCTTTCCCATAAAAATCTTGAATTTGTTTTTTATTTTATTTTATTTGAATTTTAAAATACCAGCTCTGGTCATGTCAGCCAAGGCTCTGCTGCCTGTCTGTAGGCAGGGCCAGTGCCCTTTGGTGCCTTGCAGTCCCTTCAGTTCCCCACTATGCTCCCTGCAAAAGGAGTTTGGGTTACTTGCCTGGCCCGTGGAGGCATTTGGTTCTGACCCTGTGTGAGGGCCTCTAAATCCCACAGATGGTAAACTTTGCATTTATGGTGGAGAAACTTGAGTAAGAAGTGTCATTTTCAGATGGGAACAAAATGATACAGTATGGAGCTTTAAAACTAAGTTAGTTGTGGAAAGCCCTTACATGGTAACAGGCTTTAGACTAATGTGAGACATAGGATCTACTCAGGCCAAACAACCAGTATTAATTTAAAAAAATTTAGAAGAATTACAATTCTGATACAGTCAGTGCTGTGGGCCTAGACTCCCTGCGCGTCTGTCAGTTCCCAGAAACCATCCAGGTCATGCCTGTACTCTTGGTGCACCTTTGCCAGTCAGTCATCAAACAGTTGTTGAGTGTCGGGTAGGTCATAAAGACAAACAATGTTAAACACAACTCAGCACCAATCAGAATGAATGTCGGTGTTAGACTGGATTGAAATCTAGCTTCATATGCTGAGTCAAGCTTCATATTGTTTACAGGAGACAAACATAAGAAGAGGGAAAGATGAGAAGGAAAAGAGAGAAACATTCTGGGGAATACTAACCAAAAGAAAACTGGCACAGCTTTATTCATATTAAATAATAAATTTTAAGGCAAAGAAGATCATTTCATAATGATGAACAGTAATTTACTAGAAAATAATCTTTGATTCTTTGCATAGTCAGTAAACCTAACAAATGAGTAAGAATGTAGAGGTTCTGAACATTATAGTTAACCAGCTTGAACTGTACTCATCAACTGTAGAATAGTCATTTTCAAGACATTTGAAACATGAAAACTGGCTACCCACTTGGCCCTGAGGTGGATCTCAGCAAATTTCAAAGACTTTACTGGCAGTTAAGGCAGTGACTCTTAACATTTTGCAAGTTCTAGACTCCTTTGAAAAATCCCATATATCCTATAGGTCAAGATTGTCAACTTCAGCACTACTAACATTTGGGGCTAGGTAATACTTTGCTGTGAGAGCTGTTCTGTGCATTATAGGATTTTCGCAGCATAGCGTCCCTGGACTCTACCCACTAGCTGCCACTAGCACCTCCCCTCTGGCAGGGACATCCAAAAATGTCTCCAGACATCGCTAAATGTTCCCTGGGGGGAAAGCCAGTCCTCGTTGAGAACCACTGTTACAAGTCTTTTCTTCAGAGAAATAATATAATTTTTCATACACCTTTTCCTACTCCAGTAGCTAAATGTTCTTGTCCTCACTGAGGACAGTTGAGTGGGATGTTTCGTATGAAAAAGCAGTGGGGCGGCCAAGGAGCCTGAAGGTTTGGTCTTTGTCCGCACATAGCTTCCTCCCGTCCAGTGTGTGGACCCTTGTGCGTGAGGGTATGGGAGCATCATCTGTGATGATGTGCCGAGGGCCTGAGGGCTCACTGCCAGCCAGTTTCACAGATGTTAGGCTTCTGTTTTGTTCTAGACCTTTGGTTAGGTAAAGGTGCCAGTCACAGAGTTCAAGTCCGTAACAGTGGGGGAGAAGAGGCTGTAAAATATGTGATAACCTGTGCTCATGAAGGAATGGAAAAGGGAGAGCTTAATGTCTGAGATGAACTGTGTATGGGGTCAGGGAGGATTTCACCACGCAAAGGCTGATGTCAGTGTGGGGTTTGCAGGGTCAGTGGAAGTTTGCAAAGGGGAGGCTATTGCGGGCGGGTGGATCAGCATGCTGGGTTCTGGGGCTTAGTAACATCTCAGTTTCATAGTCATGTAAAACAGGAACAGAAGATAAAGGAAGCTAGGGACGAGGCGTGCTTAGGAGCTTGGACTTAACCTGGCAAGCAATTGAAGGGGTTTCAGTGGGGAAGTGACACAGCCAGATTTTTGTGTAGGAAGTTGATTTGAGTGGCTCTGTGGAGGACAGATTGGAGGCCAGGAGACTAGTCGGAAGCTATACAAAGAACCCAGCTGCATGCTGAGGTCTAGAACTATCACCGTGGCCATGGGGATGGAGGGAGATGAACCTTTAGGGAGTCAGGTTTCCAAACCCAAGTCTAGTAAAGGGAGGTCTGCATCCGTTACCTCAAAGGGCACACTAATGTCCCTGCTCAGAGGACACCGTCCTTAGCTCTGAAAATAAAGACATAAGTTTTTATCTAAGAGAGATTTTTTTCCACTTTTTATATACATTTTTTTCCTCTAGGAAATAGACAGACGGTTGGAAAAAAAACTGAAGATCACACAAAAGGAGAGGTAAGGCTGCTGTCTGGTCTGAGGGCTCATGCACTCTGCCAGTTGAGAGCTGGGCAGTCAGTGGTGTTCTCCAGGTGGCCGTTAGGGTTAGCAGGGCAGGTTCCTGAGCGTGTCCCTCCAGGATGTGGCTGGAGGCTTTGAGAGTGAGACTCGACTGTTGCATCTGCCTTCTAACTTAGTAGGTACCCGGTGTGAGGTGGTCTGGTGGAAAGTGGGGAGGTGACAAGTCAGAAAACTTGGGTTTTAGGCTGGCTCTGTTCCAGTTGCTCTGAGGTTTGGGACAAGCTGTTTTCCCCTCTGGACATCAGTTTCTTTCTCTGTGACATAAAGAGGTTGGACAGATGATTTCTCTGGGCCCTCCATGACGTACATGGTGGCTGAGGGCATTATGGGGGTATTCTGGAAGAGAAGATTCTCAGAAATTCTCAAAGACCTTTTTAAGGATATTTTCCCCCACCCAGACAGCAGAGAAAGTGGGTTTCAGAGCATGTGAAAGTTGACCTCAGCCGTCTGTCTTTGGACTTAGGTAACCTGTGGGCTTCCCACAGGGACAGTGAAGGGAGGAGGAGGAGAGGACCTCTCTGGACTTGCTTACCATTCCCCAGGGGACGCCATGGTGCCCTGCCCACCCACTAGTTTCCTGGCTCCCTGCCTCTGATCAGATTGCTGGCTCCTTGTCTGTCTGCTTGTCTCAGCAACTGCACTGATGTCTGGTTACAGTCCCTTTGCCACGCCATTCCTGTCCCACGTGGGACTTGTTCCAGTCCCCCTGGCAGCAGCTGAGTTGCTCCAGCCCCTTCCCATCCTGCCAACTGGGACTCTGAAAACAGGCCCCCGTAGGCTGTTGGCTTCTGAAGAGAAGCTAGTTGGGGCTGCTCTGGGGAGGGTCTTTGTGGCTGTTGAAGGGCCGTCATTCCTGCCTGGATCCCTTTTTCCCTGGTGGCTTTTGTTTCTCTCCCTTCCTGTGTGGTTTTCCACCTCTCCTTGTGGACGCATTGTCCGGTGTGCACATCCACCAGCCTTGGACAATGCTTCTCCTCTGAGCACTGCCAAGCACTGTTTCTAGGATTATCCTTTATCCCAGCCCCGCCGCGTCCAGCATCCCAGGGAGCCATGGTGAGGGAGGTGTCTCTGCTCAGAAACTCTTCTGAAGAGATGATCCAGTTGTCTGGAGTAGCTTGTCTCTGGGAGGCACAGGTCACTTACCAGAAGGCTGAGGCGGTTTGGTAAACCCCGTCTTGGTGCCAGGCAGGGATGGTGGAGTGGGCTCCTTTGTAGTGTTTGACTGGTGTGAGCACCTGTGCTGGAAGGCCATGGCTAGAGTGAACACTTTGCTGACCCCTCAGCTAAGGGGTCCCACTACACCAGCCTGTTACACTCTGGTCTGTGTAGGGAAGTTGGGATTTTAACTGACGTCATTGGATTCTGGGCACGAAATGTTTTGCCACAGGGGCCAAACAGTGGTTGATGTGACTGTGAACCGGGGGATAGAAGTCCCAGAATGAGGTGCTGTTCCAGCCCCCCTTTGCCTGGGGTTAGGTCTGAGGAGCAGACCTGAGGACGACATAAGCTTATGGCAAGGTTGCTCTTTTGGGAAACCCCTCTTGAGGAGTGAGAGTTTTGGTGTCTGGTCAGAGGCCAGAGAATAATGAAAAGAATTAGGAGGAGGGAGGGGAAGTGAAGGGAGGGGGTGGGTGAGGGACATGGATGGGGCCTCTGGAGTCAAGGGTAAGACTTGTGAAGCTGTATTTGCTCTTTGTCAGCAGGAAATCCAAATCTCCTCCCAAAGTGCCCATTGTGATTCAGGACGATAGCCTTCCCACGGGGCCCCCTCCACAGATCCGCATCCTCAAGAGGCCCACCAGCAATGGTGTGGTCAGCAGCCCCAACTCCACCAGCAGGCCAGCCCTTCCTGTCAAGTCCCTAGCGCAGCGTGAGGCGGAGTACGCTGAGGCCCGGAAGCGGATCTTGGGCAGCGCCAGCCCCGAGGAGGAACAAGAGAAACCCATCCTCGACAGGTGAGTGCAGCCAGCAGGGCTGACCATCCACCACTCCGCCAGGCCGCTCCGAGGTGGAAGGGGGAGTAGCCTCGCTGCGGGCAGAGTAGTGAGAAGTGGGCAGAATCAGCTCTAGAACCGTGGCAGCTCCAGCTGCCAAGCCCGACCTGGTGGGCAAGTTCAGGGTCTGCTGCTTCGGCTCAGGACTGCAAGCTTTGAGGTCGTGGCTTACTGCTCTGCCGCCTCTGCAGGCGGGCACGGGGGTGGGGAGGGCGCAGTGTGGCGCAGAGGTTAAAGACACAAACTCTGAGTCAGAATCTGCCATTTGCTTCCACTTCCGGCTGCCTAACCTCTCTGTATCCTCATAGCCTCATCTGTGGGGGAAATGGGGTAACGATAGTACCTCCCTTGTCAACTCGTTGTGCAAATAAATGTGTGGTGTTCTGAGAACCCTGCCTGGCACAGCGGATGGTACCCCACGAAGTGCTTAGATGTTATCTTCCGGGTCTTATAATAGCTCTCTGTGATGTTTGGTGCATTTTCTAAATCCTTTTTCGTTCCCAGCACTTTTTTTTTTCTCTGCAGTCCTAGAGGTTGCATTATGTAAATTTGTCACCTCCTGCTAAAGCAGTATTTGTTAAAATAGCCTCTTTCTGACTTTGAGAGGCCTCCTTGGGTTTGCTATTCTGGGACTTGAACTAATCTATGTACCTTCTTCCTGTCCCTTCATTAATTTGATAGACTCCCATTCTCCTCTAAGCCTTCACTTGGCAGCCTAGAAAAGGTCTGTTTCCTTGTAGTCTTCCATGTTAAAATGAGTCAACCATTAGCCACATGATTTGGAGAGAAGCAGGAGGGTAGCCATGGCCGATGCCTGGTCCCTCTCCTGAGCTCTGGTTAGGGGTCTCTACCTCTGCCCGATACCCTGAAGGGTCTGCACCACGCAGTTCTGTGGAGGCTGAACTTGTCCAGAGGCTCTGTGGAGCCTCTGGACAAGCTGGGCCCTTGAGCACTCCCCCTGCCCTCTAGATTCAGGGGAAGAGCGCTGCCACTGCTCAGGTGAACATAGACCACCTGCCTCACCTGCCTCACCTGCCCACAGGGGCTTCCCAGCTTGCAGATCCCGAGTCTGCTCATCGGAGAGGGAGCCAGAGCTGGCTGACGGCTACTTTGCCTTGTGCTCTAGCTGCAGTTTTAAGATCTGGGGACCTCTTTTATGTCCTTTTTCAGGCCACCCTCTGATCTTCTTCCCTCCAGGCCAACCAGGATCTCCCAACCTGAGGACAGCAGGCAGCCCAATAATGTGATCAGACAGCCTTTGGGTCCAGATGGGTCACAGGGCTTCAAACAGCGCAGATAAATGCGTGTGGGAAAGGATGCCGCCGCTGCCGCCGCCGCCTCTTGGGTCGTCCGCCACGGGTCGCACTGCTGTGGCAGACAGCTGGACTTGAGCAGAGGGAACGACCTGACTTACTTGCACTGTGATCCCCTTTGCTCCGCCCACTGTGACCTTGAACCCCATGCACTGTGACCTCCCTCCTTCCCCCCCCCTTCCCACTGTGATTGGCACGTCTACAAGGGCTGTCCCAAGTCAATGGAAAGGGAAAGGGTGGGGGTCAGGGGAGGGTTGGGGGGACCCACGAAGGACTCAGAGTAGAGAGTCAGACAGTGCCACTTGGCCACTTGGGGTAAAGCCAGTGCCAGCAATAACAGTTTATCATGCTCATTAATTTGGGATTTCAAAACACAGATGAGAATTCCCGTCCACCCACCTGCAAGTGCATGTCTTCATCACTTAAAAGCAAGTTCCATTTGAAAATATCCTTTCTTTTTTTTTTCTCCTTCCTATTTTTGTTTGTTTATACAAATACCTGATTTGCAAGGAAAAGTGCATGGGAGGGGTTTTAGCAGTTTAATGAATTTTTAATTGAGAAAGGGTAGTTTGGTAGTCTACTTAAAAATGTTTCTGGGAAATTCACTAGGAACATTAACCAATAGGACTTTGGTGAGCTTAGCTTCTGTATTCCTACTGCCGCCCAGAGAAGGGGCAGGGCTCCGCAGCCCCCTGGACAGATGAGCACCCCATGCCTATACCTCCCTCCCTCAGCTGAGTCCCGGGGCATCTAGGCCCTACGTGGAGACTGAGCTAGCTGTACGGGCTCAGAGAGCCTGGGGAGGGTGCCAACCCCACCTCTAGTATTTTGGGAGATAGGGAAAGTGAACAGACTTCCCCTTCCCATACCCCTCAGGGTGGTTCCCTGCCAGCCAGGCTTGCTCCTTTTGGAAGAGAGCAGGGAGTGAGATGCACTCCGGGCTCGGAAGTAAGGGATGTGAGACTTGCTCAGTCTTGCTGAGACTTGCTGCTCCGAGGAGAGCCAGGAGAGAGTGGCTCCAGGACTCTGAGCCTCCTGCCCAGTGTGCTCAGAAGGTGGCTAGATCTTCCCACTCCAGCAATGCTTAAACTCTCAAGGGTCTGTGGAGCACCATCTCTGTTGATGGCACCAGCTTGGTAACCATGCCTGGTACATTTCCTTTGTGAAATCATTACCTTGGGAGCTGACCATTCATTTGGGAAAAGGCAAGCTGTGCATTGCAAAGATTGGTGGTGACAGACTGGTTCCCCATAGACCCAGGCTACCCTTCACCCATTTTTCCAGAGCGAGGGCCTGGAATGAAGGCAGTTTCCCCTCTGTCCCTAGAGCCTAGAGATTTGCTTTGGCTCTTTAAGGTGGAAGAGGCTAAGGGCAACTGCGCAGAGCAGCTTGTGTGTGTGTGTGTGTGTGTGTCTGTGTGTGTGTGTGTGTGTGTGTGTACAATCGGGGTCCTCTCAGGCTTTCTGGTCTCTTCCGTTGCACTGCGCCTTATCCCTCAGCCAGCCAGATAGCCTCCCACCAAGCGGATGAGTTTGGGAGTGGATGAAAGGACGTTTTGTGATTAGGGCAGCTTGCGGTGGCCAAGGTGACAAGCTCGGTTTTGCAGGCTCACTCCACCTTCGGTTCATCTGGCTTTCAGCCTTGCCCTGTGGGAATGTAGGCCAGGCCCAGCAAGCCGTGTCCCACTGCATCTCCCACTGAGGAGGAAGGGCCAGCTGCCGTTGGAATCGCAGCTAGTCCATAGCACAGCCTTGTGACCATGAGCAGCCGGGAACTTGTACGTGTGCAGAGCTCGGACGGAGCTTCGGTCATGAGGAAGCCACAGGCTGCTGGGTTGTACCCAGAGGCTGTTGTGAGGGGGTGACCCCCAGGAGTGGGCAAGGAAGAAGGTCGGCTACTGTCTTTATAGCTCCGCTGCCCTGTGACCAAGTTTCCTCCTTCTGGATGCAGTATCCAGCCCTCATGTAATAGTGGTTTCTGGCCCGAGATGAGACTGTCCTTTCAGTTGGAGAAGGGCACAGAGGTAGGCCAGGTGGCATGGCCAGGAGTACTGATTGCTCAGCCAATGGGACCACCTGTTCTTGCCCCCCTCTCCCGTAGCGGGAACCAAAAGGAAGGTCAGCTGATGGGTGTCTGTGGATTGAGGATGTAGTAGGGACTGGTGTTCCCACCTCCCTCTGGCCAAAGATGGGGCTTTGCCCGCTGTGTGCCTGCCACCACCCACCAGCAGTTGTACCCTTGGCTTCCCAGATGGAGAGGTGGCAGGAAATTTTTTAAAAAGAAAGAAAGAAATGAAAACAAGGAACTGTATTATGTTGGGGGGAGGCGGGAGGGGAGATGGGAGAATGGTTTGGATTTTGTGTGTCGGGGGGTTTTTTTTGTTTGTTGGGTTTTTTTTTTTTTTGGTAGTTGTCTGTAACTTTCCTTAAGTGCGCCTTTTTTTTTTTTTTTTTTTTTTTTTTAAAGTAAGCTGCAGGCTTTGGCTTGGAAAACCCCAGGGGGGTGGGGGTGGGGCAGAAACCTGAGGCTGCTGCCCCTTTATCTGCCTTCATGGTACTGTCCCCTTCCCCCAGCTCCTCCTTGACCCCATGAGCCAGGCCTCAGACCTTCCAGCTAACCGCTTCCCATGAGCCACTACTCTGATGTCAGCCTATAACCAAAGGAGCTGGGGGTCCAGGCCTGGTGACCAACCCTTCTCAGCCCACTCAATCAGGGTGCTCCCCACCTGCAGGCAGGAGGCAACACCCTATCTGCTACCATCAGCCCCTTCCAGAGCCCACTGCCCCGCCCCGCCCTGCCCTGTCCAGCCCGGCCAAACCCTGCTCTGCCCCATGTGGGTATGCTCTGCTCAGGGATGGGCCGGCAGGGCTGCCCCAGCCTCCCTGGTAAGCAGAGACTCTGGAAACCTCTGGGGTCCTGTTTTCTGGTCGTGTGATCCAGGGGTGCACATGGGCCCCTTGGGTGTCTGAACAGAAGGGCATGGGAGGGAGGGCCGCATCCCTGCAGTCCTGCTCTGCTGGTCTAGCGGGCAGCTGCCTACCCCCCGCCACCCCGCACCGCGGGCTCCTGAGTCGGCAGATTAAGCATTTTATAAATTGTATTTTAAATACATGTTTTAAACTTGTCAGTGCCTTGTCCTCATTTCAGTCCCTGGCCTCCTAACCTCTTGCTGTGCCTGCTTGTTTAACCACTGGGGGAGCTACCTCTGCTCAGTCCCAGGGAGGGGCTCTCCCTTTGTTAGAGAAATAGGCCTGGGGTGGTATGTGGGTTGTGGGGGGCAAAGACCCACACACCCTTAGGTTCCAAGAGAAGGGCCCCCATGGGTCCTGGGGCTTTCTTGGTGAGAGCATGGCTGAGACCCCTTCTGCCCTTCTGCAGGGTCTGTCTACCCCTTTTAGGATCCAGAATCTTCCCCACCATTCCCTTCGAGCAAGTGGGGAGAGATGCTCTCTGCCTTTGGGGGAGACACTTATCTGAAGAGAGTCCCAGCTCTGTGCTTTGAGAGTGCATAGAAGGTCAAAACTTTGCACCCAGGGTCCCTCTAGCAGGATCCCCAACCCCGGCAGGGTTTCAAGGTGTGTCTTGCCTCAGGGTTTCCTAAGCCTGAGGGAGGCTGGGGCCCTGCACTCTGAGAGCCAAGTGGAGGGGTGAAAACCTGGGGGTCTCCCCTGGCACCAGACACACAGGCCAAGGTTCTTGGTGTTTATTGGCTTACCAGGCCGCAAAAGCAAAATCCAGCAGCGATACCTGCCTAATGACCTGTCCACCTGCAGGTCTCGAACAGCTGCTCAGAGTCAGGGCTCCGGAGGTCAGTGGGTTCGAGCCGGCACAGAGCTGAGCCACTTTCTGCTCTCAGAGCCGTGTTCCCTAGGGGGAGAGGTGAGGAGAAGGGTGGGAGGAAATGAGCCATTCCCAGGTGCCCCAGGGGAGAGGTGGCTTCCCTGGGAAGCAGTGGAGCCAAGTAGTTGGGCTCAGGGGACTGATTGCAAGTCCTGAGTTCTTTTGCCCCCAAAGCGCCTAGAAGAGGACTTGCAGGGGAAGCTTCCCTCCATCCAGCAGTCAAGCCTGTTTCCTACCGCTCCTATGTGGAGTCAGACTCGGTCAAAGGACTTGCGAGCTAACCCCCTACGTGGTGGTACCAGCCTGAGAGAAAGACGGTATGTGCCACTGAGTCTGGGCACAGCAAGGCAGAAGTGCCCTGACTTAAGCACAGTCGGTGCAGCACGTGGGCCCTCAGTAAAGCTTAGCTCCTTACTGCTTCCATCCTTTCCCCCTTCTCCCCCTTTTCCTCCCTGGAGCAGCAGTATCCCGGGCATCATCTCCTGGAAGGATGGATTCCCCTTGGGTTAGGCCAGGGCCTTGTGAAAAAAGGAGGTGGGATGGGCCTGGGCTGGAGCTCCTGCCTTCTGGGCACCCACCTGCTTCCTTGAGATCCTGACTGGAAGAGGAGTCTCCGGATGTCAGGGCCCAGGCTGGTGGGGGTGCACGGGTCCAGCACGCAGTGGCTACCCTGCTTCTGACGGGTCATCTTTTCCAGCCGAGGGCAGAGTGGGACACAGGGCACCTGCGTGTAGGGGCTCTGCAGGTTGGCATCTGGCAAGGGAGGAAGGAGGAGGCAGGAGCGGGGAGTGCCTCAGAACAAGCCCAGCCTTGGGAGGCAGGCAGACCCAGCTGAAATCCCAGCTTTGCCACATCCTGAGCTGGGTGGGTTTGGGGCAAATCGCTTACCCTCTCTGAGCCTCTGTGTAAGCTGGGGGTGAGTACCCTCCTCACAGAGCTGACAAGGAGGATTAAAGGGATAATATGTGTGCAGCGTGCCGCTGAACGCCAAGCACAGTGTAAGGGCTCGTAACAGCTTACACAGGAACACGTATCTTTGTGCTGGGTCCTGGCAGTCTGGTAGGCACACTAGAGAGACTCTGGAAAGCTCCTAGCCTATCACTTGGCACACAGTAGGACTCCTAGTTTAATCAATGGCAACTGCTCTTACAGGGAGGCAGCCTTGCCCAGTGAAAAGAGCACAGGTTTTGGAGTCAGACCTGGGTATAAACTGCCCTTTCTTGACACAGGTTAGCTGTGGGGCCCTGGGCCTTGGGCTTAAACTTGCTCAGTTTCACTGTTCTCATCTGTACCATGGGGTAAATATGTGATCTTGAGCACTAAATCCTGGCACATCTACAAAGGGCCTAGCATGGGCAGTGACCCCAGTGGGTATTCAGTAAATGTGGAGCTGCGATTGCTAATCGCCCTCCCTGCTCAGTGGAGGCTCTCGGGACCAACGTGTGCTCAGGGCTGAGCCCCAGGGAAGAGTGCAGAAGGCCCTTGTCAGAGGGCTAGAGGTGGGGTGGTGATTTTCAGACCATTGACTAATGCACACAGTTAAGCCCAAAGTGGGAAACCATGTCTCTCAGCTCCTGGGTCTGGCTGTGGGCCCAGGGAAAGAGGCCGGTGGGGGGGGGGGGCAGGAGAGCAGAGTGCTCACTGTGCCCAAGGCCCTCACCATAGTTGTGCTGCTTCAGCCGGCTCAGGATCCTGAGGACCCTTCGTTCTGGGACTTCCAAGTATGACTGCTGGGGGTTGTAGGGAAGCTTCTTCTGGGACCGCAGCCAGCCAATGGCCGACTCCATCTCTCGGGCCTTACAGGTGCCTTCCTTCAGCTTCTTCTGGTAATAGCTGGGGAGGCAGTGCCCGCCCAGCTCAGCCTGGCTGTGTTTAATTCACGCCCTCTCCCCCCACCTCTTTCTGAGCCCCTGTTCTGTCTGGCCAGCTCTGGGACAGGGACACAAGCCCAGGAGTTAGGAGACCTGGGTTTTAGTCCCAGCTCTGCCATTAACTCCCTGTCACTGCCTTGCTTTGGACTCCAGTCACCCCAACCCTATCTCTGCAAGTCACATGACTTCTCTGGGCTTCAGGTTTCCCCTGGGTGAAATGGATCAAACAGTCTTCACGTTCTAGGATTAAATAACAAGGCCCATCAAGCACTCAGCAGTGTGGCCCATGGAAAGAGCCTGGTCAGTGTCACCTGTGCTTTCCATCACTGATATTTTTACTTAGATGTACAAGTGCTCTGTAAGACAGCTGTGCGATTAACCTGCTCATCTTCCAGATTTGAGTTTTATTTTCTTGACTCACGGCTACTCGCCCGCCCACTAGACTACGGCTCCGCTCATGCATTCAGCAGATACTCAGTGGGTGTTTACTGCAGGCCGGCCATGCATCTAGGTGCTTGGGAAAGCAGTGCAGGAGATCTCCATAGAAGGTCCCTGCCTCCTAGTGTCCCAGCCCCTCTCTCACTCCGGCCACTGCCACAGTGACCACTTCCACACGGACTTGGAGCAGCTTTGCACAGGGACAGTCTGAGGTGGCCTCACCTCAGAAGCCGCCTGCCTGGAGCTTCTCTGAAACCACGGTGGGGGCCACCCTTGACCAAAGAAGCTAGCAGCTGAGGTATACAGGTTTCTCTTTCTTCTCCTGACAGAATTCTGAACCACTATCCCTAGACTCCTCAGAAGATCCTGGGAGTGGTTGACTCAACACATGCTTGTATTGGCCCTCCTCTGTTCACATTCCTTCTCTCGCTCCTCCCTGGAATTCCTTTCTAAATCGACCACCTAGGCACGCACCTAGTGGGAGAGTCAGACCATGAACAAATAAATACAATACCCTGTCGATAGTGGTGGGTGTAATGAGGGCAAGTAAAAGCTGGACGGTGGGTAGTGATGAGGGGCTATTTTGCTCACAGAGGTCAGCAAAAGTCTCAGAGGTGGTGACATTTGAGCAGAATGAGGGGAGGGAGCAAGTCAAATGGATATCTCTAGAGGAACAGTCTTTCAGGCAGAGGGAATGGCATGTGGAAAGGAGGTGGGAAAGAGCTCAGTGAGCTCTAGGAATGGCAAGGAGGCCAGAGGGGCTAGAGCCTGGTATGTGAGGAAGAGTGGGAGATGTGGGCAGCAAGATGGCAGAGCCAGACCATCCAGGGCTTTGAGGCAGTGGTGAGGGGTGGGCATGCTACTCGGTGCTGGGAAACACTGAAGGCTTAAGTTGCTGGTTCTGCTACGGTCTTTGCCTATCTCTGGGGCCTGGAATTTGGGGTTTTGATGAGCTTCACACATAGAACACAGAAAATGGATACCAGAGCCTTCACGTGGAAGTTGGATCTAGACCCCTGTGTAAAACTAGTAAATGAAAAGGCAACATGTTGAGTAAAAAAGATGACCAAGAAATAACTTCACTCCACAAGGGCCAAAGGACATGAGCAAAATGTGTGCAACTTTCTTGGTCACAGTTTTAAAGGACATTGCTTGCTCTCCACTTCTCTCCCCTTCCCGCGGTCTTGAATTCAGATGTGTTGCTGGTAAATTGGTTTAGGATTGACCTAGGGATTGGTGGGACAATAAGTTAGAAAGAAATAATAAGCTGTGTGCTGGGCAGCCTCATCTTCCTGCCTGCTTCTTCTGGACTGTCAATATAAGAGAGAAATAAACTATCTTGTTTGAACTGTAGTGCATCGGGGTCTATTCCTGAACTAATATAACAATATAGAATTCTATACCCAGCTAAACTACTCAGTGGGAATATAAATAAACTTTTGCAGACACATAAAATCTCAAAAATTTTGTATTCTCTGCATTCTTTCCTCAGTATCTACTGGAGGACATATTCTTCTAAAATGAGGGCATAAACCAAAACAGAAAAGGAAGATATACATATAGAAAACAGAAATTCCAACACAGGAGAAGCAACAGTAAAGGAAGATGGTAAAGGGAGATCCCATGTTGGTAGTGCAACTGTCATAAAGGACGAGTTTAGATTAGATCACTATAGTGTAGGAGACAGAATAGGGGTGGCGTTCCTGCACTAGTTGTTGAATCACTTCCTTTCTAACCCAAACAAAGCTACTAGGGAAAATGCCTCCATTATTTTTTTAACTAAACCAAACAAACCAAGAAGGATTAAGCAAACCAAGGAAGAGTAAGGCGTGTAATCTAACAAACAGAGAATCCTAATCAGAGGAAAGGAAGAAAGAATTCCTAAGATGACAACAGACCCCCAAGATGACAGCTCAGCAACAGGCTTAAAAAGAAATTAATCCAAAAGTGAGAATAATGGAATTATTTAGAACATGCCTCCAAGAAAAAGAAACTGTAAGAAGGCGGCACAGGTTAATGAGTACAAAGAAAACAAAATCAAGGCAGTTGTCAGCTTCAGGAACTAGAAAGGCAAGGAAATGAAATCATAGTATAATAAAATACTCAGCTGTTAAAAATTGCATAGCCATAATAATAGAAACCCCCCCAAATTATTTAGTAAAAAATGATAATATATTAGAATAGGTAGAGGGGAACTTAGGGGATGGTTGTATCAGACAGCTAAACCCATACCATAATAGGAAGTCAATAGATACAAGTCAAAAAAATCACTAACCAAAATATTGTAGTACATGCATATGTTTTCAAAGCAAGGAGAGAGTCAAAGTATTTGTCTTGGGAAGGGAGACTTCAGGGAGTGGGGAGCATGGTGAAGAGTGGTGTGGGGAACTACAAGGGTTTATTATAAACCTTTTTGGACTCTTTGGCTTTTTAAACAACGTACACATTAAATTTTTAAGAATTAACTCAAAGGATAAAGTTATGTCAGTTGAATACTAAGCAAAGGAAGTTGGTATAACCATGTTAATATTTTAAAAACTAGGCCTTAAGACAAAAAGCATTACTAGAGACACAAATGATTACCATATAATGATAAAATGTTCAGTTCATCAGGAAATACAAAATTCTAAAAATGAAATATGAAGCAAAATCTGATAAAACTACAAGAAGTAGACAATTTCATTATCACAGAAGTGATAATGGATACTCAGCTTTGCCGGTGTAGCATCAAGGAATCCATATACTATATGTGTGGATGAATGGATGTGGCTGTGTTCTGATAAAAGTTTTAACTGTAAAAACAGCGAGCAGAATGTGGCCTGCAGCCCGTAATTTGCTGACCTCTGCCTGCTATAGACCTTACCTAAAACTAAAATTCACAGGAGAAACAGAGTTTGGAAGTTGAGTCTACCAAGTTAGAGGGTTTAGGTAACACCTGGGCCTTTCACAAATACATCCTAACAAAGTAAAAAACCAAGACTACATAAACTTGAAGTGATCAGCCAGTAACTGAACTGCCTACAAGAAAAAAAAATAACACTCATCAAAGGAAGAGTCCGGTTTCCAAACAAAACAGAATCCAGTCTCTAAACCATATCATCTAAAATATCCAGGACAGGGGTGCCTGGGTGGCTCAGTCGTTAAGCATCTGCCTTTGGCTTGGGTCATGATCCTAGGGTCCTGGGATCGAGCCCCGCATGGGGCTACCTCTTCCACGGGAGGCCTGCTTCTCCCTCTCCCACTCCCCCTGCTTGTGTTCCCTCTCGCTGTGTCTCTCTCTGTCAAATAAATAAATAAAATCTTTAAAAAAATAAAATGTCCAGGACACAATAAAAAATTATCAGCCATGCATGGGGTACCTGTTCTTGGTTTCAGCTCAGGTCATGATCTCAGAGTCCCAAGATCGAGCCCCGTGTCAGGGTCTGTGCTTAGTGAGAGTCTGCTTGAGATCATCTCCCTCTCCATCTGCCTCTCTCCCTGCTTGCTCTTGCTCTCTCTAAAATAAATAAATAAAATCTTTTCAAAAATTATCAGACATGCAAAGAAACAGGAAAATGTGGCCTATAGTAAGGCCCATAAAAATAAACTTATGGAAAGCAACCTTGAGGAAGCCCAGACATTGGATTTAGCAGACAATGGCTTTAAAAGAGCTATTAAAGGGGTGCCTGGGTGGCCCCAATGGTTAAGCATCTGCCCTCAGCACAGGTCATGACCTTAGGGTCCTGGGATTGAGCCCCACATCAGGCTCCCTGCTCAATGGGGAGTCTGCTTCTCTTTCTCTCCCTCTGCCCCTCTCCCCACCTGTGCTCTCTCTCTCTCTCTCAAATAAATAAAATCTTTTTAAAAAGATATTAAAAATATATTCAAATAATTGAAGGAAAATGTGATCTTAATGAATAGAGAAACAGAAACTACAAACATGAAACAAATGGAAATTCTAGAACCAAAAGTTACAATAACTGAAGTGAAAAAGTCACTTGTAGCAGATTGGAGATAGCAGAAAGACAGACCAATAAAAATCATCCAATCTGAAGAACAGGAAAAAAAATTTGAAGACAAATGAACAGAATTCTGTTTCTGGCCATAATGAAGGAACTGGTACGAACTTGTCATCCTGCCATAAATAACTACACATGGACAAAATATATGAAACTGTTGTCAGATATTGAGCAACAGGCAGCACAAGACTATAATCCCTGAGAGAAACCAATGAGGTGAGCTTAATGATCTCTAGAGAACTTTGCCTGGAGGTGCTTTCTGGACTGTGGTACCGGAAGTGGCACCCAGGCAGAACAGCAGACTCACTGAGGTAAAGGGACAGACATTGTAGTTGGTGAAGATGGAGGCCACTGGGATTAGTGTATCAGGATATCAGAGAGAGAGGAGCCATGCAAAAGAAAGAGTTGCAGAAATATGCATGGGGTATTCTTGAGTCTTTGGTTGCATATTAAGCAGTACACACATAGTGTGAAATTTCATAAAGCCAGACAAAGAACAAAAAACAATTACCAGAGTTTACCTAGGGCCGAGAGACACATGAGTTTCAAACAGCCAGAGCGGAAAGACTTTGTTGAACACCTGTGGGATTAGTAGAGCTCTTAGATGAGTCCTCCTTCAGTAGTTGGGACTAGCTCAGCCCTAGAGGAGAGACTATACTCGATCTTCCCTAACAAAGCTTTAAAACCTTGAAAGATGGGCACCTGCCTGGCTGAGTTGGTACAGCATATGGCTCTTGATCTCAGAGTCATTAATAGGAGCCCCATGGTGGGGGTAGAGTTTACTAAAATAAAATAACATAAACCTTGAAAGAAAGAAGACTATCCTTAGTAACTTAATCACCTGCCCTCTAGTTCAACATTTTAAAGAACAAAATCCAGACAAAATGGCATCCAATCAAAAACTAGCAGACATGAGAAGAAGCAGGAAAGTGACCAATAAAAAAAGAAAAATCAGTTTATATAAATAGACCCAGAAAACACAAAGATGATGGAATTAGCAGAAGAGGACCTTAAATGAGCTATTATAAATATGCCCGAGGATTTAAAGGAAATACGAATGTGAAGAGAGAAATAAAACTATGAAATAGAACCAAATGAAATATTTAAATATGAAAAATGCAATAGCTGAAATGAAAAATTCATTGGTTAAGCCTAAGAGGAGATTAGACACAGCAAAAGAAAATATCAGCAAACTTGAATGCTTAGCAATATAAATTATTCAAAGTGAAGCACAGAGAGAAAATTCAGGATACAATGATCAGAGCACCAGTAACCTATGAAACAATTTTAAGTGCTATGGAATTGGGGGCACCTGGGTGGCTCAGTCATTAAGCGTCTGCCTTCAGCTCAGGTCATGATTCCAGGGTGCTGGGCTTGAGCCTGGCTTCGGGCTCCCTGCTCAGCGGGGGAGTCTGCTTCTCCCTCTCCCTCTCCCACTCCCCCTGCCTGTATTCCCTCTCTCGCTGTCAAATAAATAAATAAAATCTTAAAAAAACAAAAACAAAAACAAATGACCTTTACAGAGTCTTTTAAGTGTTATGGAATTGGAGTCCCAGAAGGAGAGGAGGGGGGCATATAAAAATATTATGTATGGAAAAATGTACCAAAAAAAGAGAAATATGATAAAACTATAAATTATAAATCCAGGAAGCTCAATGAACCCAAAGTAGGATGAATACAAACTGAAGGGACCACTGAGCCAGTGAACTATGGGACATCATGCCTAGATTTGTTCTTTTCTGCTTGTTACAATCTGTTTTTCTCCCCTTTTTACAGGTATCTTATATCACAATTTCTAACTCAAATTTCTCCCTGTAGTCACTAAGCTTTTAATATATGAGATTTACAAAGAAGTTTCAGGTAGGTGGGGAATGAAGGAGTTTAGGGCATGCCGCTACCAAACAGGCCACTTTTGGCATATGGACTGAGGGGCGCCTGGGTGGCTCAGTCGGTTAAACGACTGGCTTTTGGTTTTGGCTCAGGTCATGATCTCAAGGTCCTGAGATGGAGCCCTGTGTTGGGCTCTACGGTCAGTGGGGAGTCTGCTTGAGATTCTCTTCCTCTCCCTCTCCCTCTGCCCCTCCCTGCTTGCTTGCACACACACACTCTCTCTCTCTAAAATAAGTAAATAAATCTTTTTAATTTTTTTATTATTTTATTTTTTTTAAAGATTTTATTTATTTATTTGACAGAGACACAGCAAGAGAGGGATTACAAGCAGGGGGAGTGGGAGAGGGAGAAGCAGGCAGGGAGCCCGACACGGGGCTTGATCCCAGGACCCTGGGATCATGACCTGAGCTGAAGGCAGACACTTAACCAACTGAGCCACCCAGGTGCCCCAGGAAGAAACATTCT